ACGAAGACAGGAAAGCCGAAATGTTTTACCGAAACGAAGGTCCAACTGTAAAGCGATGATCGAAACCATCAGAGAGCCAGAGGTTATTCCCGTGGGAAGCCTCATAGCAAAGAAGGCAACCAGGCCCGCGGGTGAGGAAGAAAGGGTGTCTGAAGGAGATTACCAGATTGCGTAAAGAACATAAAATATAAGGGGGCACACCCCCTTATATAGATAAGAAATCCTCCCGAATCACTAATACAAAAGAAAACCCTTGGCGTCGCGCGCAGCCGCGATCCTTCCTTTCAGTTCCGCCAGTTTCCGTCGCACGAGAACCAAACCCAATCATAACATAAAGGAAATCCTACTAAGCAACCAAAGAAACCACAGTCCCGTATATGCAACGAAAAGCCCAATGTTCCTTCCTTTCATCATGCCGGGTGGCCGTGACACTAGCTGCCCTCTCCGATGCCGAAGTCCCTTGAGGCGATTCACTCAGGTAAGGGTCCAGGATTGTGAGGGTACCGTTCGTGGAAATGTTCCAGAGCCTGAAGTCCATTGACAGAGTCGGCAGGTTCCCAGGTGGCTTCCGCGTATCCCCTCCAGCGGATGAGATATCGTAGGCGGTTGCGGACAAACTTGGCATCCAGGACCTCCTCCACCTGCCATTCCGGCTCGCCATCCACCACGACTGGTGGCGGTAGTGGTATCTCCTGGCCCGGAAGGGGGTCGTGCGAGGCCAAGTCAAGGAGGGAAACATGGAACACGTTGTGGATCTTCATGGTAGGGGGAAGGTCCAACCGGTAGGCGTGGGTCCCGATCTGGGTGAGGACGGGGTGCGGACCAAAGCGTTTATCGTCGAGTTTCAGGGAGGGCTGTTTGGTTCGGATGTTCTTGGCATTCAGCCAGACCCGGTCGCCAGCCTGGAAGTGAGGGGCAGGGAGCCTGCTCTTGTCGGCGTACTCCTGCTGGCGATCTTGGGCGAAGGCGATCTCAGTCTTCAGGTGGTCATGGATATCCTTGATACGGTCCACGAATGTCCCGGCAGAGGGCTCATCGGTGGCCTCGTCGGGGGTGTCCAGGAAGTCCATACGGGGGTCATAACCGTGGTTGGCGAAGAAAGGGGACACGTCGGTGGATTCCGAGGCATGGTTATTAGCCGCGAACTTAGCCATGGGGAGCCAGAGGGACCAATCGTCTTGCTGGTAGTTGATAAAGGCTCTCAGGTACTGCTCCATGATGGCGTTGACACGTTCGGTCTGACCGTCAGTCTGGGGGTGGAAAGCCGTTGACATTTTCCTGTCCACTTGGAGCCTTTCACATACGGTTCTCCAGAAGTCTGCTGTGAACTGAGTACCTCGGTCGGAGGTGATGGTCTTCGGGAGGCCATGATGTTTCCAGATGTGGCGGAGGTAGAGTTCAGCCAGGATGGGGGCGTTGATGGTAGTGCGACAGGGTATGAGGTGACGCATTTTGGACATCCGGTCCACTACCACCAGGATGGCGTCGTTTCCCTGGCTCCATGGTAGGCCAGGAACAAAGTCCATGGAGATGTGTTCCCAAGGGCGGTCGGGTATTGGTAGGGGGCGCAGGATGCCAAAGGGGGCGTGCCGGGAGGTGCGACTGCGTTGGCAGATATGGCAGTTAGCCACGAAACGTCCAATGTCCCTTCTCATACCAGGCCAAACGTAGCGTCGGGACATCAGTTCATGGGTTTTAGCACGTCCTGGGTGTCCTGCGGACAGCCGGTCGTGGGAATCTTGTATCAACCTTATGCATAGTTCGTCGTGGCGGGGGACATAAATCCGATCACGGTACAGCAGGCGATCTCCATCGCGTTTGCATTCGTTCAGCGACAGAAGTCGCGAATGTCGGTCGCCCTTATCGAGGGCATGTAGAACCTGGGTTGGGACCGTGTCAGCTTCATAGGCCTCCTTCCAAAGGTCTTCAATAGGGGACGCTCCCGTTGGGAGCGTGGTGTTCGCCAACAAACTCAGAGACTGAGACTTCAACACCACTTGGGTCCGATGATTTCT